TCACTAGGCCCATCTGCCTACCCTGGCTCCTTAATTTGGCTCCTCTCTCCTGCCTACCACACCCTGATGTTATAATTAATATACTGTTTTAGGAGGCTGCCGTTGTGTAACCCGGGTTCAGCAGTGGGTGCCTACCTTCCCCCTACTCCTTCCCAGGCTACTAGTATGACTAACCTACACAGGGATCAGTCCCTCTCTTTCCCTCACCCTCTCTTTGTCTCTGGCTAGGGCTTCAGCCCCTATCAGTTTAACATAATCAATCGTTAGTCCTCTGAGTGCACTCATTCTCCAGAACCCCTCCTGGGTTTACATAAAAAGTCCTCAGTGCTCCTTGTGTACTCAGTCCACCCACAGAAACTCCTCCTCTCAGACAGCCACTCTTCTTGCTGGGCTTGTACTCATTGGATGAATTTACATGTGCTCCCCACTGCGCAGTTGGTACTATGCAGTCATTTAGTGCTTGCATTTCTGACCCTACTGCATGGTAGCAACAAGTTCCCATACAGTAGCTCATTGCTACTGCACAGTAGCAGTGGCATCATGGTTACTGCCTACTGATGCTATGTTGCTGTAGCAATGAGTTACATCACTGTAACTCATCACTACAGTGATGTAGGTTCTCATGTAGATGTGCTCATTGTCTTTCTGGAGGGCTCCATCCTTCTCCACCACTAGGACCAATCCCCCTCCTCTGTCCCGAAAGAAAGTTTGTATCTCAGTTAACCACTCCTCCTTGGCTGGCTGACTTAGCTTCCTGCTTGCTTGGCCCAGGTGCTGCTAATCTCCCCCTCCCATTTTGCTACTTTGTTCTTCCACCAGCTGCTTGCAAGCTGGGTTCTGCAGAGGGTGAGTTCATACGAAACAGACAGCAGCAAGCTTACCATGTTGAGAATCAGCCAGGGAATTAGACTATAACCTGGCTGGATGGACTTGCAAATTGAAACTTCTGTTGGGGAGTTCTCCTCACTGTCAGGGTAATAGTGGGAAAACCTTGTACTACTGTTCTTCCTCCCTTACATTTTTCCTCCCTCCCTTCCTCCCTGATACCTGAAATGGGTCACAGAAGCCAGGCAATGAAAGGAGGATAAATAGATGTACCCACTGCCAGCGTTTGCCCATGGTCAGGCACTGACTCGAGGAGTCACAGTGGACTGCTACATAGTTAGCCAGGTGGCATGCAGAGGTTGAGAAGCACTACATAGCCTTTGCTGAGTGTACAAACAAGATGCTCAAGGAGTTTGTGAAGGCTGAACAGGAGTTCACAGATCAGCCTATGTTTGACTTGAAACTGCAGACAAGGGGCATCTTTGGTGCTCTCCACATCACCCCACCAGGGGCACATGCTGTCACCAGGCTTTACCCTCCCCCAGGTGTACTCCAGGGCAGGAGTGGGAGCAAGTATCAGGCAGCCATAGTCCATGGCCTGAAAACATCATATAGCGGTTGTTAGACCCTGACACCATGCGGCGCCCAAAGGCTAGGGAGACAATGATCCAATTGCTCATGGATCCTAGTACTCTAGCCAGAGCAAGCAGGGAGCAAACACCAGCACACATTGCTTGCAACAGCTTTATTCAAAATGGAGACAGCTTTAGATCAGGTCCCAAAAAACCAACAAACCAGGGACCTGCACTGAACATTAATTATTTTTACATTTTATACACCTTGGTTCATGCTCATTAACATTCGTTCCATCTCTGTCCCTCTTTCTGTTCCAACCATTTCTCCTCACATCTCAAGCTCTGCCTCTGTTTACTATTTACTTCATTAACATGGAATTGCCTATGCATTTCAATCATTTACATGCCTCTCTGCTAAGAGCGCATGCATAAGGCCATGAACTTGGCTTCTCCGAGTCACTTGCTGGTTCTTTCTGGTTTCTTGCTGACTCCTGCTTCATCTCCAAGGTCTTGCTTCTGCTTTATCTTCTGACAATAGCTGGTGGGTTGCATCTCGTTCTTCTTACACAGTGAATTATATAACTTTACAACACTACTCCATTGTTAGAAAACTGCTTGCCTAAGCATTTGCAATGTTATTTTTAATATATCATTTTGCCTTGTGGTCAGCAGCTTCGCTGAGACACAGAGTAAAGCCTTGTATTCAACTACAAGTTGATGTGCTCCCCAAGATCCAAATATTGTCACCCTAACAGTGGTGGCTGCTGCCACCTGAGAAAATGTGGGTGTGTGCTGGACCCACAGCATTTTCACATTCACATGAAGTGATGGGCTTCATTTGTGTAGGTTTATAGTATTACTGGGGGCTTTTTTGCATTGCATTGTTCTATTGACCTCCTTTTTTACATTTCTGTTGTATTGTTTAATAAAAGATATGCCTGTTGTCAAAACTATGGCTGTGGTGTTCACCATATATGAGACAGGAGCTTTCAGGGGCATGAAAAGCACCAAAAAAATAAAATAAAAAGGCTATTTAATGTGTCACCTGTGGGTCCCAGGACCAGCTGTGTCTCCCTTCCTCTTTGCTTCTTAGGTGGTAGCTCAGTAGCCCAGCAATGGTCAAAAAAAAGCAGAGCAGAGAAAGGTCATTCACAACCAGCCAAAGTTGTTCCTTCTTCCCTATCTACCTCTCAGCTACTTCCATCCAGATCCAGAGGCCCCCACAACTTCACACAGCCCAAGCTTTCACCACCTCCCTTTGCTCCCCCCTTCCACATCTCTGGGAACAGAGCTCAGCACCCAGCCGAACATTTCCCCACTCTAACTTGCCCAGCCTGAGCATTTCTTCCCCAGACACCCTCTAAACTCACTGGAAATGACCACAAAGAGCACAAGTTCAGTTGCTAGATTTAATCATCATTCTATGACTCATTGCAACCTTCATCTTGGAAGCTGGAAAAGTGGTCAGTCAGCACATCTTTCTCATACAGTGCCAGGTGACTGGCCTCTGTTTGAGAAAGCACAGACACATTACCTGTTGGAGCTGGGCTCTGCCTCAATTGGCAGGGGCTTCCCCTTGCCTCATAGATGTTGTGTAGCATGCATGCAGAGACCATAAACTGGGACATCCACGTGTGTCCTCAGGTACCTCCAGCAAGCCTTGAGATTCCTGAAAGCATCCTCCACAGTCATCCTGCAGCTGTTAAGCTGGTAGTTAAAAAGTTCCTTCTAAACACCCAGTGAGAGGCTTTATCAGATAGGGGTACAGCCAGTAGGCAGCGTCCCTGATTAGTAGTGGGGGCAGAGTCACTGCCTTTACCTAAATGTCAGGGCCACCAGAAGCACACTCTTTCTGCTCCATCAGTTCAAAAATGAGGGACCTCCTAAATATCCTGGTATTATAGTCTTTTCCCAACTAGCTGGCATTTATGTGCATAAAACTCCTGTGATGGTCCACAAATTTTTTAAGCATGATTGAGAAGTAGCCCTTCCAGTCAGTTAATTCACAGCCTCAGTGCACAGGGGAAAGATTGATGATGGGATAATTGATGGCCTAAATGCAGTTAGGGAACCCCAGATTGGCAACCCAGCCATGGTCTCTTGTGGGTCAGCAAGATATATGAGCACAGAACCATCGCCTGCCAAACTGCCTGACATGCCTCCTGCACTGCCTCTCCAGCCATCAACTTGTCAACAATTAAATGGCTTGCTACAGATCTGAGGCTGTCTAAGACTGTGAGCTTCCCTATACTGGTGGCAGTACACTTCTCCAAGGATAAGGATGCCTGCATTGCCATTGCTCACTGATGTATGTGTGGGACACAAATCTCCATGAAGGTGCCCCTGGATTTGCATGCCTTGCTTATCATCCCAAGTAGCCATGGTGATCTGTTTCCACCAATCACTGCTTGTCTCCCTAGCCCAGATGCACTGTTTTGTGGTTTGGAGCCTCTCACACATCTACCCAGTCACAATGTGCTGACTTAAAGTCAAAATTTCTTAAACTGCTGCCATGGATTAGGAGTCAAACATAGTCATGGACTGCCCATGTTGTTTGGCAGCAAGTATGTGGATGAGCTTCTCTGCCACAAGTACTATTGAAATGAATGAAGGCAGTCATGGACCTGTTGACATTGCCTTTTCTGATCAGTTTTGCTTATTAGTTCATAATGTTGGGCCAGTAAGGTCTGCAAGGTGACAACCACATCTGTATCCAATGGTGGCTAATGCTGGTGGAAGCTCCAGATCACAATCAGTGGTGGCAACACAAATGCAGTGCAAATACAGGTTGCTGGTCATGGGCATGAGCATCACTGTCTATCACATCAAATTTCGTACCATAAAAAATTCACTACCCAAAATTTGAACACCCAATAAGTGTTTTGCTTGACACCGGCAGAGACAAGGAAACCTATGGACACTTGACAAGTCCATACTGAGATGTGTGTGCTCTCTTCAGCCACCTGCTGGGAGAAGAGAGGTGGTGCATTAAGCCACTCTAATCCCAATTGAAGGGCGATGTGTGGATACAACAGTTCCATGAAATCTCCTGTCTAGGACAATAAACAGCACAACTGGTCCTGTGACAAATACAACATCGTTTATAACTTAAGACAACCTGAAGTTACAGATTGGCTTTGTAAATTATTTTTAGAGGAATAGTTCCATATACCTTCATCTAGGGCTGTGTGAATCTTCAGTAGCCAATTCAATTTGGAGGAGATTCAGCCTGATTCAGCGGCTTAATCACTGAATCCATAATCAAATCAGGAGACCAATTAAAAGCTCTGAATTGAATTGGAAGCCTACAAATTGATTCAGAAAAGATTTGGCCCGATTCAGAGATCTGGCCATAGACTAAACAGGTCTTTGAGGATACTGGACACAGATGCCTCCAGCTGGTAAGTTTGTTATGATGAGTGAAGGGGGGAGGGAAAGGGTGTGGGGGGGGGCGCAGATCAATACCCCCACAGTGAGGGAGGGATTGGGGCTGGGCCTGGGACAAGCTGCCCAGCTGGGTCGGGGGACAGGTGACTCAGGGAGGGAGGCTCCTGCCACTGCACACCGGCAGCCCAGGAGCTGCTCTTCTTTTGGATTCTCTGGCAGTTCTTGTTGCTGATCCAGGAGGGTGTGCCCCCAGATCTGTTCAGGGAAAGCTGGACTGGGCTGCACCAGGAGGCTAGCCCCAGCCGCAGCCCTGAGCACAGCCCTGGCTCCACCCGCTCTGCAGACCACAGTGGGGTGGGGGATATGGGGGGCTCCAGCCACCCTAAAATGCCCCATAGCCCCTGCCACCAGCTCCACTTTGATCCAGGTGCATGCACCGGCCCCCATGCCCTGCCACTGCTCACCCAGTGGGGCAAAGCTGCAGCTTGTCCAGGAGGTGCAGGAAGGCTGGGCGAGCAGCAGGAGGACATAGCCCTAGTTCCCATCACCTTCTGCCACCCACCCAGAGTGCATCCCAGCCCACCCCGTGCAGATCTGGGGGCAGATGCCTGCTCCCATGCCCTCCCAGACTGGCAGCATGTGGCAGCAGGAGCCCCCGCCTCCAAGTCCAGCACCCAGGGCTGTTCCTGGGGGGAGCCAATCAGGGTGACTGCTCCAGGTCCTGTGTTTTGGGGGGCCCTGTGGACAGTCCCGTACAGGCCCCACCATGGCCGCCACGTGCTGTTGTTGCCAAGCACTGCTGGCTCTGGCAGGTCCTTCAGCCACTCGCCACTCCACCCCTCCCCTGGCTCCAGCTGCCCCTCCAGCTGCTTGCCAGCCCCCACCACTCCACTGACTCTGGCTGCTCCTCCACCTGCTCACCACCTCCCACCCCCTGCTCCACTGGCTCTGGCTGCTCCTTCGGCCACTCACCACCACTCCCTCCCTGCTCTGCCAGCTCCGTCCACTCCTCCAGTCACTCGACACACCCCTGCTCCACCAGCTCTGGTGGCTCACCACTTCGCCCCCTGGGCCCCACACACCTAGGGTTGGTTCTGCCTGAGCCCTCCCCTCTCCCTGCTCCACCTGGGTAGCTTGTCCCAGCCCAAGCCCCAAGCCCTCTCTCATTGTGGAGGTGTTGATCTGCCCCTCCCCCATGCCCCTTCCCTCCCTCCTCCACCCACCACAACAGACTTACCAGTTGGAGGCAGCCAGCTATGTCCATTGTCCTCAAGGACTGCTGCCTGTTTAATCTATGGCTGAATCTCTGAAGTGGTGCCGAATCTTTGGATCTGATTTAGCTGAATCAAATCAGGACAGTGATTCGAATCACCAAATCAAATCACTGTCCCTCTGAATCAGCTGAGTCCGAAGTGAATACGTGCCATGTCCACAGCTCTTCTTCCCCCGGTATAAGGACTCTGCACCATAGCTAGACAACCAGATCAGCAACACTCAAGCCCCTAAGCAGGGACAGCTGAACTTGAGCCTGCTGATTGGTTCCAGAATTGCTCTTAAGGAGCTCCTTCAGCTCTTGGCTCCTGTTGTGAAACAAATTGGCTTCAGTCTCTATGTAGCTCTTGTCTGTGTGACTTTCCAGGTGCCTATTCTTGCATTCCTTCCCATGACCCCAGTCCCTGAACTGCAGAACCCTGGTTTGACCTTGGCTTGCTTTCTGACCTCCACTTCTGTTAACCCCCTGGCTCAGCACATGAGCCCTGGTTTGGTCTTAGCTCATCTCCTCACACCTGCTTCTGGTAATCCCTTGGCTTGGCATGAGGATCCTGATTTGACCATGGCTTCTTCCCTGACCTCTACTCCTGGTAACCCTTTTGACTTGGCATACGAACCCTGGTTTGACCTTAGTACCCAGATGCACTGGATGCACCAGAGGTGCATGCAGGACTGGACTCTCCTCCTGCAGTCGCTGGTGGCAGTGGCAGAGGAGAAGGCAGATGATGCCCTGGCCTGACAGCAGGAGGACCTGGCTCAGGAGAAGAGGTGGCAGAAAAAGGACTTGGCCCAGAAGAAGAGGTGGCAGCAGAATGATACTGCCCAGGAGGATGAATTCTGAGCTGAGCTCCTGGCCCTGGAGTGAGAGCATCTCCAGATCCTGCAGGACCAAAATAATATGCTGGGCCAGGTCGTGGTGACCACTGATGGTGACCGCAGGACCTTGGACACCACCCTGGGCCTGATGGTATGCATGCTTGCCACTTCTCAGTCCCTGTCCCTAGCTCGGCAGGCCCCCTGCCAGCTGGCTGCTGCCTGGCAGCAGGCCCCCACTGGGGCCTGGGAGGAGGTCCTCTGCCTCCTCCCACCCACAAAAGCCCCTGACCCAGGCCCTGCCCTGGGTCTACCACCACCCACCTAGGCCCAGACCCGCCACTCACCCTGGCTTCATGTAGGAGAGTCCATGGTTTTAAAAGAGCTGCCTGGAGCAGAGCCAGGACTTGATGTCAGCCCTTCTGGGCCTGGACTCTGCAAGCCAGAGAAGGAGCCACCTACTTTGGAGCAGCACCAGGAACCACTGTCCCTGG